ATACCTTGCATGCGCCAAATTGGCGGCCGTAGCGAGGTCAACATCACTGCGGACGTTGCCTTTCCTTGCCCAAACACGACCACGTCGACGTCGGAATGCTCCCTCAGCCAGCTCTGCGGCATGAGTGGCATAGGCAGTGCTGATTCCAACGGCAAACTGCATCCCAACCAGTGGTACCGTTTCATAACGCCCATTTTCCTCCACGCCGGTCTCATCCATATTGTCTTCAACATGCTCGTGCAAGTGACGGTAGGACGAGACATGGAGTTGCTGATTGGACCAATCCGCTTCGCTTTGGTCTACATTGCCGCGGGAATCTTCGGCAATGTCCTGGGAGCAAACTATGCCCCGAACGGCATGGCCTCCACGTAAGTCGCATTTCTTTGTCCCGCGCGGGCAGTTCAGCTGCTAATGCAGACTCCGACTCAGTGGTGCCTCTGGAGCTATTTTCGGAATCATTGCCCTCACGCTGCTGGATCTTCTCTACCACTGGAGAGAGCGCCCCAAGCCGATTCGGGAACTATGCTTCATCGCCCTCGACATCGTCATCGCTTTCGTTCTGGGTCTTTTGCCAGGACTTGACAACTTTGCCCACATTGGTGGCTTCATCATGGGGTTGGGGTTGGGCATATCCATTCTGCATTCCCCGGGTCCCCTCCGCGAGCGCATCGGTATCGACGATCCTCCTTACAGCGCCGTGCCCAACCCAAAGGATCCCGAGAACCGGGCCGAGGGAATCAAAGAGTTTACAAGGCAGCCCGTCGCCTTTTTCAAGGGCCGCAAGCCCCTTTGGTGGGCGTGGTGGTTGTTCCGGGCTGGAGCTCTTGTTGCGGTGATTGTAGGCTTCATTGTTCTCCTGAACAACTTCTACGTCTATCACAAGTCTTGCAACTGGTGCAAGCACCTGAGCTGTTTGGTGAGTTTCCCGAGAAATCCTCTATCTGGACTGTACTAATATCTTTGCGCAGCCCGTCAAGAACTGGTGCGACATTGGCAACATTGAGCTATCGACAACCTCGTCAAACTCCAAGCGCGATCTCTTCGGCATCATGCGGGATTACGAATATGGTCAAATGGGGTCGCCGGCGTTTTAAAATCGACTAAGGCGTTTTCTTCCACGTCCGGAATCTGGTCTCGTTTCTTGACGCCTCGCCAAACTCGCTCATTTGGACCGGGCCATTTCTTTTCTTCTTGTCCATGTTCCTTTTGGGCGCTTTTTATGATTCCCTCCACCAGGATCCACCACGAAAGCATGAATATTCAAGCATGGCGGGGGCGTTTTGCGTTTCTTGGCGGAGCTTCTCGGCCTTTCCTGCATGGGCCTGCCAGGGTTGGACAGTTTGGTTGCGGCGGCATGCCCTTTTCTTTATGGCGTCGACTGGAGGTCACGAGGGGGCAATGTATGTATCACCATGATGCTTTGCCCGTACGGAGGACGACGATAGGATCGTCCAAAACGAATTGAGGCGTTGGGTGGAAACCTTGAATGCTTATCATGCGTGTTATTTTTAGCTGTCGCTCGAATCTGTGCTAGTGGGTCGCTGTGTAAATATATGCTTACAGCTTGTATGCATAGGGGGGGTGTTGGCTATAAATACCAGAGATTCTGGAGTAGAAGTGTGGTGCGTGAATGAAAAGACTTTGTCGGTAATAAATGTGCGATAGAAGAAGTCCTAGTATTGCACAAGTGAGGTTGAAATAAGGAGGTTGTGTGAAATACACAAGTGAAGATTCGTCCAGTGGAGTGGTGGTAGCTCTACCTCCGACACGGTTACTCGCGGTGACGGTGACGTGCCGGCCCGCCTCCCTGGCAGCTAGCTCATGCCCAACCTTTCAACACTCCCTCTTTGAGGCCCTTCGCACTCTTTCTTGGCTCGTTGCCTCAACATCCAACACCAGCCATGTCTGCCGCCCTCATCGGCATCAACGTGCTTGTCACGCTCAAGCAGCCTCCGAACGTGGTTGTGCAGGGCATAGTCGCCAATGTCGTCGAACAGACAGCAACCCTGGTCTTGCAGAACGGTATGTACTTGACCACCTGGGCCTCTCTCAGCCCAACCTAATGGCTGACCCTGCATGCAGTGTACTTTCCGGCTTCCGGCCACCGTTTGGCTAGCTACACCATCGCAGGTACCCACATTGCCGACATTTCTGTCCACCAACCCTCGCTGCCGCCTCAAACCGCACCTCCGCCCTCTCTTCCTCCCAGCAATGCTCCCAGATTTCTGCCCTCGATCCCGCCGTCTGCCCCTGCGCCTGCACCTCAGTATGCCCGGCCGAGCGCAACACCTGTCGAGGTACCGGCACCGGCGCCGGCCTCAAAGCCGAAGCAGAGTTTTGTGGATCCGGCCATCCTGAGCGTGGGCAAGAAACCAGCCTCGGGTGCCTCTACCGCCCACGAAGTACCTTCGACTCCGATCAATCCTGTCGACGCAGTTCCCCCTCCATCTTTGCCCAGGAATACTCCCCATTTTCCTCCGCCCGCGAAGAAGCCGTCGGTTAGCGCCAAGGCGACCAAGTCAAAGGAGGACCCGGCCACCCTGACGGCGCCGTTTGATGCTCTGGGACTCGAGAGTGGGAGCGATTCTGGTGATTCGACGACAAATGAGGGTCAGAAGCCAAGGGTCAGCATCGACAAGACGCGGACTGGGAAGCCAATGGAGACTCCGCTCAAGGGTGACGAGGGGAGGAGGCGCAAACGCGGCGGGCGAGGAGGCAAGAAGCAGAGAGAAGACCAACTGTTTCCGCCGGCTCGCGAAGCTGCTGCTCCACAGTTGTCTCCCGAGACTCAACGGAAGACGCCAGCCCACTACAAGGGCAAGGGATGGAGGCAGACCCCCATGCTGCAGGACAATTCTAATGCGCCGCAAACACCAGGCCTGATTGGTGGCAAAGTCGGCCGTGATGCTGTCAAAGCCTCCAACAAGAAGAGCAGGCGCCAAAAAGCGTTGGAGGCTACGAATGGTTGGGCGACAGAGGATGCCACGGACGTTCAGGAGCTGCCCGAATTTGACTTTGCCGAGAACTTGTCCAAGTTCGATAAGCGCTCAGTCTTTGAGCAAATCAGGAATGAAGACACAACGGCCGATGAAGAGCGGCTAGTAAGCTTCAACCGTCTCCAGCCTCGCGCTGGAACCGCCGGCGGCAAAAATCTTCATCCCACGGAAAACGTACTGGATCAACGCCGGACTCGTCGACGGGACTCGTCCTCCAGCTCAAGTGAAGAGGAATTCTCCGACTTCGATAGTGGGCGCAATTCCCGTCGCAACAGGTCATTGGCATCGACGAAGCGGGTGCCGTTTCGCTCAAACAGCGCGATCCAGGAAGACATCATATCCGCACACAAATCTCTCCGTTCCCAAGGACATCGCGGGTCCAACGCCTACTCGTCAACGAATAGCCCCGTGCCCGGCCGTCCGACACCTCCGTCTTCACCGTCACTTTCCCTCTTCCCGCAATTTCATCCTGCAAAGCTGCGTGTCACCTCGTCTGGCAAGAGCTGTGCGACAATCACCCCTGGCACAATGACGGCCTTGGAAGAGTTGGCCGAAGTCGAATACCTCATGACAGAAGAACAGCTGGCTGAAAATGCTGGTCGGGGCATCGCACAAGTCGCGCTCTCAGCTGTGAACCCAGGGGGCCGCCGCCTCGCCCGCGAAAACCTCGCCATCAACGCCCGTCCCGTCGTCATTGTTCTTGCAGGCAACCATCGCACCGGTGCTCGCGCCATTGCTGCGGCCAGGCACCTCCACGCGCGTGGTCCTCGCGTCTTTGTGGCACTACTGGGCTGCGAGAGACCAGCCGACTATGAAAAGGACGTGCGGCGCCAAATCGACATCTTCAAACGCTTTGGAGGCTACGTGCACAGCTGGAGCGATGTGCACCGGGTCCTCAAACGCCTGGAAGCACCGCCCGAGCTCATCGTCGACGCGCTGCTGGGCCGCAACAAGGAGTTTGACGCGCTGGGCCCGCAGGACAAGGAGACTGCGCTGGCGGTGGTGGGGTGGGCCAACAAGAGCCGGGCCAGCGTGCTCTCGATCGAGGCGCCCTCGGGCATCAACAACTCGACGGGCGAAGTGTCGATCCTCGAGGGCGAGCCGCTCGAGGTGCGCGCAAAGTACATCGTCTGCCTCGGGGCGCCGCGCACGGGGCTGCTGCGCGCGCTGCAGCTGGGCGACGGCCGCGACCCGGAGTGGCTCGTCTGGGTCGTCGACCTCGGCCTCAACAAGCCGTGGCGCCGTCTCGGTGGCCCGGGCAAGAAGGGCGTCAAGTTTGGCAGTGAGTGGGCTGTTGCTCTGCGGTTTGATACTGGCGAGGACGTGGTTGAGGAGGAGGCTGAGGTCGTTGGCGCGAGGTGAGCTGCTGTGGCAGTACTTCAACGCGACGACGGCCGTGGCGGCATGGAAGTAGATCATTCGGAGTAAAAGGCGTCGTGGGCATTGGATTTGGTTACGGATGGGTGGCGTTTTTTGGACTGGATGGACGGTGGATTAAAAAGTCGACATGGCTGTTATGCGGATATTATGGTGGTGGATACAATCGATCAATCAATACTACTTCAACCTCATTACAAACTGCACCGCCGGCTGTCCTCTCGCCTCTTCGTTCAAGCAAAATGTTGCTTGCTCTATCTTTCCGACAGTGAGACTGCTTCATAGGCGATTGATCCCTCGAAGCCGCGTTGTATGCCGCCGCAAAATAACAACATCTGGTTCGCCCTCTTCCCTTTGCTTTCCCGGCCGAGTCTTGAAAATCGTCGGCCAACTCTTCTGCATTCTTCTCACAGCGTCCCCTCCCCGACCGATGGCCGCGCCTTCCTTCTCCCAACCGCGTCAAGCACGCATCGCAGCCAACACCGCACAGACGCATTCCACGCCACGCGAAAGCGCACAGACCACCCACCTACGCAATCTGCTCGGCACACGGCCATGCAAAAACCTTCACCACCGCCACAATGCTTCCACCAACACAACACAACAAAAAATGGCAAAAAAAGATGTTGATGAGGACGAGACTCGAACTCGCGCGGATTGCTCCACCAGGAAACAAGGGATCCACTATTGTAGATCGCGCTGTTGCAATTGCTAAGATTGAGACCTTAACCTGGCGCCATAACCAACTCGGCCACCTCACCTGTTCATGAAGAAGAGAGTGAAGGAATAAATTTATAAATATAAGTTGGGATGCTGGAAAGTGGATGTGGATGTGGCAAGGGGGTACAGGGGAATCCAATCCGCTCCTTGGTCTCGTCTCCTCTTTTATTCTGAAGGCTCCTCCAGGCCCTCTCATGTTCCATCCCACCTTCTTGCAGAATTTGCGGTCTATTTTGTGTGACACGGGGTATCTGTCGACGCGCACAAAATATTGTCTCTGGTGCAATGCCAGACAACGTTATCGACTTTAGCTGCTGGAAAACTTCAAGTTTGATGACAATCTCCCTTCCCTCAAGAGCTGCATTTGTCCATGCAACAGTGACGTAATTAGCCTAGCTATGCACCTTTTTTTTTTTTTTCTTCTTTTTTTTTCAAGCTGTAGAGAACTTTACGAGAGCAGCGTGATCTTCATTGCAATCAAATATCAATCTTTTCTCCTGAAGGGGAATGAGGTGCCGCCGCGACCGCGGATTTGCATCCGCAATGATCCTCGCGACCTGGGTAGGTACGAATGGAACAGGTGACTACAAATCTGGACTTTGGAATCACTACTACCTTCTCCATTGAAGAGTTGAGGCGAGTTATGCGCTGCGTTTGTCACATGTGCTTATCTCGGGCTCGGTAGGGGGGATGTTCAAAGAGATAAGTGGTTACAGCAGGCCTTGAAATATGAGGAGAACAGAGAGTGGAATTTGTAGCATGGGACAAGATAGAAACAGAAAATGGGTAGAGGCCAAATTGGTAACGACCGTATCGGTGAGTTATTATTTAATAAAACAACCCAAGAAAGGAACCTTGAAGAAGCCCAAGGCCAGTCAACTATACAATTACAATGCTCAAGTCATACACCACAGCAGTAGCAAACCCCCATTAAAGAGTGTATCAGTGAGTAATTATGAGAGAGCATTACGACTACATCATTACAGGGGAGGGGGAGGAAGACTAAGGGAAGGAGGGACGCGAGCACCACACCACAATGAAGGCGAAGAGAAGAGGACAGGAAAAACTTCGTTCTGTGTGCACAGCACACACAACTATTCTACCCCAGCCAACAGAATTTTTCCGCTGCCACTGCTTGCTGCTGCTGCTCCCACAATTACTCGACCGCGGGGATGAGCTTCTTACTGCTCCTTGGCGAGGGTGCCGCGGGCCATGTGGCGCTTGCGGAGGTTGTACTCGATGGCGCGCTTCTTGGCGGCAGCGGGCTGGACGAAGGCGGCGGAGCCACCGAAGGGACCTGGAATTGTTTGTTAGGAATCGCAGGACAGTAGTACGGTCATGTAGGCTTACCAGCAGCGGCACTGTTCCTGACGCGGACAATGCAGACGTTCTCGGCACCACCGGCCTTGCCCTGGCACTGCATGCCCTCGGGCATCTGGACCTTGACGGGGAAGTCCATTACGGACGCGCCGGAGAGACCGCCGATGCCAATGCCCGGCACGTCCTGGGTGACCTTGGCCTCCTTGAAGGCAGCGTTGTCGGTACCGCCCGAAGTCGGGTCGACCTCAGCCGTCAAGGGGCCGGCGCCGTCCTGGTTGACCTGGTGGTAGGTCAGGGTGATCTCGCCCGTGTCGGAGCAGGTGGGCATGCCAGAGGCAGCGCCCTTGCCGGCGGCGGCCTTGACGCCCGTCTCGGACGTGCCCTTGGGGGTCTTTGCGCCCTTAGCATCGGCTCCACCGCCGTTGCCTCCGCCGCCGAGGATGCCGTCGAGGAGACCGCGCTTCTTGTTGGCGGGCTTGGCCGCCGCGCCGCCGGGACCGTTCATGAACATCTCAATGTCCTTGGCGGCGTCGACCTTGCCGCCCTTGTTGGTGCGGCCAAGTGCGCTGGCCTTGGTGCCGCCCGAGATCTCCCTGTCGCGGATGATGGAGGTGTCGCCCTCGGATCCGCAGGCCGGGCTGGCACAGTCGCGGGGAGTACCGTCCATGACTGGAGCAAGAAAAGTTAGAGAAGAATTGTCATGATGGGGAGAACAAACGTACCGCCGAGACCAGGCATCTCTACACCATTGGCGCCCGTGATCTTGGTGACGAGGCCATGGGCGGAAACAGACGCAGCAAAGGCTGCCACGACGACAGTGGAGTAGTGCATTTTGTTTGGGGTATTAAGGGATTGAAGACGGAGGGCGACCGGCGCAAGAACTGAAAAGCTGAACTCAAGGACTGAATGTGGAAGTGGTGCTGATGGTGCACTCAAGGCCGTGGAGAGCATCGGCTCTTATAGCTGCCAGTACGCTTTCCCATTCTGCTTGTGAAGGCTCCACTGGAAGCTTAGCAAGTTAGTGTATCACAATTCACGATTTGGAAACCACCAGTCATGGGTTGCATCGCATTCGCAGCGAGGAACAAGGGGGCGGCGTGTGCCAGAAAGGAGCGGGTGAGACTGTGTCTTCAGGGCGTGACACTCGATGGGGATTGGGACAAGGCTGAGGCACAACGAGGGCTCCGGAGATCGGCCTGCAAAGGGACAAGGTGAAGCGAAGGTGCGGGCTCAGGCAGATTTGGTGTTGGTGTCCAGGCGAATTTCTCTCCAGGCACCGTTTGGACAAGTCTGGCGCAGCCAATGGTAGCCGTCAGACGCTCCAACTGTCCGAGGTCGTTCAATGTCGCGCTTGGTTTGAAGCGCTCTCAGGTGGCAGGCAGAAAGGATTGCTTGCATAAAATGTTGGGGGACTCGAGGTCTCAGATTGCAAACACCGGGAAGGAACATGCAGACGGACGGGCTCTGAGGTAGTGACAGTAGTGGGCGAATTTGGACGCCTCTTGGTTGAATTGATACATGTACCTTTGAGCAGAGCTTGGTGGAGGAGTATCAAGCGCGATACTTTTAACCAGCCATTTCGAGGCGGCACAGGGCGAGCAAGTGTCGCTCAGGTTGCCCAAAAGAGGACCTTCTCTTACCAAAACAGGATTCGTGAGAAGTGGCGAATGGAATGGGAGACAAGTGCGTGTTTGGAGTCGCGAAAAGTCGTCGTCTGACACACGGCGGGAACAGCGTCTCGCGGGCCGAAGGCGATGGAGCTTCCTTGTGAACGGCGACTCGACGAGCCTAACGTCCGGTGTAGTCTTGACATGATTGACTGCGATGAAACGCGGAACGGGCGTGGGCCGAGTCGTAGGAGAGGAGGTGAGGTTGAAGGAAGCGCCAAGATGGTGCGACGGACACGACCGCACACGTGCAGACCAAACCTTGCCGTCACCACCGTCTTCTACCCTCCTGCTGATTTTCAATCACCATCAATGCCTCCACCCACTCCATCCGCCTTCTCGCCCCCATCTCCTGCATCTGCTGTCCTCCCTCGACCGCAGATCAGACGGCGTTCCCGCTCTCTCGACGAGACGACTGCTCTCCGCCGCAGACGATCTGTCAGCTCAAGCCACTCGACGCTGTGTCCATCCAGCGCCGACTTCACGGACCATGTCGATTGATCCGCCGAGACAACTCGCCATGTCCATCTCTCGTCTGACTGGCTCATCGCTGGTCGAGCTCAGCCTCTGACCTTCGAGGACCGAGGATGTTGGACGTTGTCCAGTCGGAAAATAAATATGCCAGCTGCAGCCGTCCATTCTCACTCGGTCTCGCCGGGCCTTTCTCGCTTGGATGCTTCCCGACATCGTTAGCCATTGCCGTCAGGAAACAGGGGCCGTAAAGCCAGCCGTCAACCGCAGTCAAACAGCAGCCACCGTCAAGATGTGATCGCTTTGCCTTCTCCGCAAAAGGCCATGTCGGTGCACAGGCTCTGCGGAACCTCTTCCCCAAAATTCGACCCCGAGATATAGAGTTTCTTTGCTTTGACCCCAAGATACAAGATGCCTCGGCTCGCATTGCATGACGCCATCCCCGCAAACCGACCGGCCGTACGCTCGTCGTACAAGCGCCCGTGTGCGCAACTGTCGGTCTACACCGCCGGACGCAGATACATGCACTGTAGAGGGCCAGAACATTCAGGCCCCTCCTCTTAAGATACCACGCCTTAAAACTCTGCTTCGGCCCGCATACCATTTTCGAGCCCCGTTCCGTATTTCCCTCGTCCACCTTTATCCGTCTTGAATCGAGAGCAATTGGTCAACAGATCCCTTATTTTCTTGGCATCTTGTACCCAGACGGATTTCCGGAGCTCTCAACTTCCGCTCACTCAACAACTCGATTCTACACGCCGTCAGAATGCCCCTGAAGTCACACTACCACTGTGATATTCCCCTGGTGGACTTGCCAACCCACGTCTTTGGCGGGCCATCATCACCCCTCCCAAAGAACAAGAGCTTCATTGATGCAGAACGCCCCGAAAGATACTACCTCAGCTATGAAGACTTTCGATTATGGTCGAAACGTGTTGCCCTCGGGTTCCAGCGCGCGGGCCTCAGGCAAGGTGACCGTGTTCTCCTCTACTCGGGCAACAGCATCTTCTTCCCTGTCGTCATGATGGGCGTCATCATGGCCGGGGGCGTCTTCACGGGAGCCAATCCGTCGTACGTTGCGCGAGAGCTTGCCTACCAACTTCAAGACTCGGGTGCACGGTTCTTGATCTGCGCCGAAGGAAGCCTGCCAACCGGACTCGAGGCGGCCAAGAGCGTTGGAATGGACAAGAGCAACATTTTCGTCTTTGATGCTGGCTACGACACGTTTGACGAGGTCGGAAAGTCTGTCGATGGCATCAGGCACTGGTCTCACTTCATCGCGTCTGCAAAAGAGGGGGCATCGTTTGCGTGGGAGAAGCTCACCACCCCAGAAGAACTCAACCGCACTGTGGCCTTGAACTACAGCTCCGGCACGACTGGCGTGCCAAAAGGCGTCATGATTACCCACCACAACTTTGTAGCCCACACGGAGGAAGTGCTATACATAACGTCGCTCCACCCGGACCACGAGGCCATGAAATCGCGGAGCGCCTGGATATGCTTCGTGCCCATGTACCACGCCATGGGACAGGCCCTCTTCGCCATCTCGGGGCCCACGCGCCAGATTCCCATCTACATCATGC